CGGTGCTGATAACACCAAGGCCGCGGGTTCNCAAGCCAAGGGTTGAGATCCCCTTACCGGTCATCTTTATTAAAAAAAAAAAAAAAAAAAGAATTACTATGTTGCAGCTTCCTGCGTCAGAGAACAATGTTAATTATTTGTGGGGTTTATTTGTTTGTTTGTTTTTTATTTCCATATATCTGGGTCAAGCAAGCCCATGTTATTATGCTTCAGCTATCTCTGGGATTTCAAGAGTATTGTGCCTTCCCAAAGGTCATAAACCTCAGTGTGGTATAGTGCATTAAAATCCCAGCTCTGCCCCTTACCACAACAGCTCTCCTGCTAGTGTTTTAGCCTAACTCAGCCACTTTCTGGCTGTGTGACCTTGAACAAGTTGCTTCAGTCCTCTTCTCTATGGAGTGGGGCAATACTGGTACATATCTCATAGGGTCATTGTGAGGTGTAAATGACACGATTCATGGAAACTTCCCAAAGAAGTACTAGACATCAGCTGTTGTCAGCAGCAGCAGCAGCAATAGTTTCCCAGCCAACACCTCCATCCATCTTCCACTCAGGGTTAATTATAAATGGCTTAATGAGGTGATGTATGAGAAAGCAGCTGACTTCTTACAGATATACAATGAAAGCCCCTTCTTTCTCACCCTCTCAACAAGCATCCCACTCACTCTGAGACTTCTCGGACTGCAATTCTTAACAACAGCAAGATTCAGCCTACCAGTCCCAAGTCAGAGAGACCACGACCGCGTCCCGTCTATCGCCATGGGCCACTGCTGGCATGTGATGCTATTTCTCTTTCCTTCCTCTTCCTTAGCTTCTGAACTGAGGCAGGAGAGCAGAGCCTTCATTCTGCATCACTCCACCAAAAGAAGCATTACTCAGGGTAGTGATGGGGACTGACTTTTTACAAAAAAAGGAATTTGAACCAATGTTAATTTTTTAAAAATCAAAAGAGAAAACTGCACATGTAAAATGATGGCAACTATATGCTTAAAGACCAGAAGGGCCCATGACGATAGTCAATGTGATAGGGTTGTTTGTGTAGATCTGTATGGGAGATCATATGTAGTCCCTCTTGAAAGTATAAAATAGATTTCAAAAGCAAATAAATACAGCAGTATTTACCAAAATTACAAATGCGTGTACCCTTTGATGCAGTGACTCTGTTTTTGGCAACATATCTGTCCTATAGAAGTATCTCACATTTTTTATTTTCTTACACTTTGCAAGAGTATCTCTCTCCCTAGCTACCTAGCTATATATACAAGAATGTTTGTTGATTCATGGTAATTACAGAAAATTAAGATAATGGCCATCAATGGGGGTAGGTAAAGTAAGTTTTGGTATGGTGGGTATGTTCATGTTATGTGATTCTATACAGCCTTTTGTATACTGTTTACAAAAGTTATAGTAGGTATGCATGGCTGACTTGGAAAGATACTTTTCATACATTGTTTAGTAAACTACCAAATTGTTGCAAAATGATATATGTGGGTAAGATAACCCCATTAGTATATATCTGGAGGTATGTGTGTGTGTGTATACATACACATAGATAGATACACACACACATACGCATATGTGCATATATACACAAACATATATCCTTCTCCATATATGTACATTGTGTACATTGGGAAATGCTGAAAAATGTAAATCAAATTATTACTGAGGATTAAACTTTGGGTCCTGTCAGTGGGAAAGAATCAGGGTAGGACTTGTAATTGTTTCTTTATGCAACTTAGACTTCATTTCTCTCTCTCTCTCTCTCTCTCTCTCTCTCTCTCTCTCTCTCTCTCCCC